TGCGTATCAAGCTGATTCTCCTAGCCATACTACACCAGCAGTATGTCGATTGAAGCCTTCTGTGATGTCCTCGTCGCCGGAGCCATGTCATACCACTTGCTGCGCAACAAAACAGGATTCAAACAGTAGTGACGTTTCAGTCATCTTTTTTGGCGTACAGATAATGGACAATCTAGGACGCACAAGGCAATAAACCTCCTTGTCGCGTACTCTCTCAACAATGGCGCAATCGTAATGGTATTCGCAATTTGCGATCTTGCAACAGTGAGCTCGTCCTGCATCACCTAAGCCGTCACTGATGATACTTGCAGTTCGTTGCCTCACCTTCGACTTTAATCCATGAACCGTACGTTTCTCACTATTTCCAAATTGATAAATCATTGCAATTGTTGTTTCAGATTTTACCTTGTCCTTGTTCGACGTAGGTCTTCCTAAATTCCCTTTGCTCGTTCACCGTTCACACCATTTTAGTCTATGCACTGAGTTTCATGTCCATGTAAGGTTTCTCCCCGGTCCACATATATAAGCTTACCGAGTGCTGTTTTTCCCAGACTCAATTCCCGCGACCATGTCAGGGAACAACTGTTTTCAACAACTCACGCCATGGTTACAATTCATTTCCAGTCCTCCCATGAAAATCCGAATTTCCCAGTAGATATCGAGAATGGAATGGCAAGCTCTGACGTCAAAGGAGCTGTTGGGATGCCAAGCAGCACCATTTGAAGAGCAGTCACACCAAGACATATTGGGCCTACAGTGCGAGGGGAACTGTTCGAGATGTAATCTTTTGAGGAAAAAAACGAATGGCAGGTTGTATTACCCGTTCTTTAACGAAATGCGTCGCGAATCTGTGGATGTGTTTGCCCATTCTCCATTTGTCCGACTTCCCTTTCGTCTTGCTTTCATCTCGGTCCGCTCTCGTCCTCAAATTTGCCTTTCTGTTCCGGATTTCCATTCAAATGTAATCGCATTAGATCAACTGCGAACTGCGCCTACCTCACCGCAAAATGACAGTGCACAGCACTGGAAATTTTGCTCACAGCAGTATGGCAGAGCTATCCCTTACCGTGGAGATCTCAGAGACAATTATCGGGCCTGCAAGCTAAATTTTTTGGGTTAATATTCACTCACCGGATAATCCAACTGTACCTCAGCCGGTCAGCTCGCAGTTGTCCTCAGAAGGACCCAGTTTCTCGCAGTAAATTCCCGGCTGTGCCGCAGTTTCCTTCACGTAGTAGCCCTTAATTTTCCGCGCATAAAAGGCCAGTGACCCTGTCTTTCTAGCCCCCCCATCCTTCTCACCCGCAAATCACGCCATGCTCGGTCTGGGTTTCTCTTCTACTGTGTGCTGCTGGCAGTGGTCATCAAAACCGACCTTCTCAAACCTCAATTCACTGCTCTCTAATTCTCTTATAAACAGACACTACAACAATAGAGTGCTCGTACCTCGCATGTTGTAGTCTGTCGAAAAGGTTGATGCGTCGATCGCTGGCCGCGTTATTACAAATCACAAAAAAACAATTTGGATGCTGATATGCGTTCCAGAACAAGTTTTTATATGAAGTCAAATTAGTATTTGTTAGCATAAATTGAGCAACTTTCTCAATCTGACATAAAGCCAGTGCACTCTCCAACCCAGTTTGTGCCCTATAAATCCAAGGATGCAACAGCCTATAATACCACCCGGTCGCACATGGTGTGCATCGACTTACAATAGGGTCGTTCACAGTTCCCTTTTTCCCGCCCTTTTTCTCCCCTTTTTTTCGGGCTTTTTGTGGTTCCCGCCGTTTTTCACCGGATTTTCCCCCCTTTTCAATTGTGATATGTAAAAAGTGTTAAAAAGGGAAAAAACGAACTTCCCAGCTGAAAAACTGAAAGAAATCCATCGAAAAAGGGAGCGAAAAAGGGCAGGAAAAAGTGAACTGTGAAACCCCCCGCCGCGACTCCCTTTTTCCACCCTTTTTCGTGCCCTTTTCAACTCTCTTTCTTCATTTCATACAGTTTGGGTGCTCCTATTGTCCCCCAAAGGTTGCATACCACCTCAGATGTTCAAAAAAGACTGTGATGAATTTTTCTGGATTTTATGGCTCACTCAGTTCATTATTGAAAAAGGGAGAAAAAAGGGAGGAGAAAAGGGAGCAAAAAGGACGCGAAAAAGGGAACTGTGAATGACCCTAATGAGATGTCGGCTATTTCGAGGCAGAAGACCCCCCGTTCGATTCGGGGCTGGGTGATGTTGGAGGATTGGAAGGAATTTTTTTTTCTCCCGCCTTCAAGTTTTTCCACCGTCGCTCCTCGGACAGAAAACAGGCATGAGCCAAGTGTGAGTGATATGATTTCTTCGCCATCTGGTGCGTGTCATCGTCTGCAACATTTTTCGGAGCACAACCACTCCAACTCCAAGTTCGCACGTATAAATTCAGATCTGCTTACAATGTCTGGGGTATTTCATACCGCTGAGGGCAGAAGAGACTCCGTTCGATTCGGGGCCGGGTGATGGCCGCGTTTTTTTTTTCACTCTTCAACCACTTCGGTACTATCATGGAACTGATCATGGACCCAACAGAAACCTCACAATTATCCAGGACCCTTGTCTAAATTACTGGCATGAGCTCTGAGACGCAATGGTGTATACTACCACCCGGTCGCACATGGCGTTCATCTGCCCAATCTTCGAGTTTCCGGCCTTGCGAGCAGAAGACCCCGGTTCAATTCGGGGTCAGTTGATGAAATGCTTTGAAAGCCTTTTTTTCTCCATCGTTCTTTTCCCATTTTTGTCTCATCGTATCCTTCCACTCTTGCCTCAGCTTTCCACAGAGCGTTTAATACTCCCTCCCTCGTGCAGCCCGGCGATGAGTCGAATGTTTACTGGTAAATCTATCCACAAATTGCTCATGGTTTGGCTGAAGCCAGTTTCAACCACGTTCAATCGAATAGGTTAAGGAAACAACCAGGTACAATATCACCCGGTCGCACATGGTGTGCACCTGCTGAACATATGGCAGAGGTACTCTTCAAGCAGATGACCCTCGTTCGATTCGGGGCCGGGTGATAGACGCTTCGTAAACATTTTTCGGCCTCGTTCTTGACTTTCCCATCTTGGTTCCATTCCTTCCACTCTTACCGCAAATCTCCCCAGAGCATTTTATAGTCCTGTAGCCCGGCAGTGGGTCTTAGGGCTGGTGATATCGCAGCATACAGGTGTTTGTTTTGGTCATCGCAATTTCTTGTACAGCATGTGTATTTTCGTAAATAAATACAAGGCTATTTAAGAAGATACAAAGACATGCACATGCCCCAAATCTGAAGGCAGAAGAGCTCTGTTCGAGTTTTTCCTACCTGCCCATCCAATCCTGACGCACAGAGCCGCTCGCACAACCTGCGAGCCTCGAGTGACACCAAGCAAAAGACGATAGACACCGGACATAATGAGAATAAGCAGTGACCCTGAGTCGAACGCGAGCCAGAGGCCGAGGCGCGCACAGTGACCCGAGTGAGGGGACTATCGCGGCGCCGAGGCCGACCCCTGCGCAGACCGTGCACGTCGGCGTCGGCGCGGCTACTATCGCGGAGTGCGGAGAACCAGCCTAGCCCGAGACCGAGACCGAGGACGCGCGCCTGAAAGGGCAGGGCAGGGTAGTAGGGTACGCGACCCGACACGACGGACAATAGAGCCAAAAAAAATGTACGAAAGAAAATACGAAAGAGAGACGAAAAAGTGAAACGAAAGGAAAAAGCAAAGATGAATCGAAAAGTCGACAGCACAGAGCTAAAGCCAAAGCACAGAGTCAAAGCAAAGCCGAAACGAAACGAAAGCCAAAGCCCAAAGCCCAAGCCCAAAATAAAAGAAATGGGGGGGCACACGACCGCGCGCAAAGCGGAGGCAGATCAGTGGGTGGGCGGCGGCATACGTGTCGATCGGCAGTCAGAGACAGGGGCAGGGTAGGCGCTGTCTTATCTTTGTCCCGAGGAAGGAGAAGAGAGACACGAGGGGGAGAGAAGAGAAGAGAAGAGAGATACGGGGCTGTCTCGCAGAGAAAAGGAGGAGGGAGGGACAGGAGAAGTAGTGGGGCGAAGAGTAGGAAAGAGTAGGAAAGAACAGAGGGCGGGACGGGAAGAATCACGACAGTCGCGATGTCAATGGGATAGAACGTGAGCGCAAAGTTGACGCCGCGAGGATGTACCACAGCGTGCCGTTCTGCCCGTCTACAACCGCAATACCACAAAAAATAGCCAGGGGAGTATAAGGATGACGAAGCACACGACACGCACCCGCTCACTCTCGCGCATAAGGAACCCAGGCAGCCATTCATATACCCAATCGACAGCAGGCACAGACGCACCACGTCCGTCGGCGCGAGTACGGCGAGGGCAGACAACAGTACGAGCGTCATCGCGCGCGCGGACATACTCGGCGTCAGATAGAGGCCTAGCGTTCTGAATCCTGCGCACACAATCCATTCAGCACCCTCCCCAAGCATAGAAAAAATAGTAGGGGGAAATGCCACCCAACGCAAACGCACCGATAGACGAATGGAACATCTTCCTTGGGATCTCCCAGTCACTGATCTTCTTCAACTCCTTCTTCACCTCCACCGTCGCGCGTTGCTTCCCCTGCCTTCGGTTCACCTTTCGCGCCTCAGTGACCTCGCTCTCCTCAGGGTCCCTCTCCTGTCGTCTGCTTCTGCGTCTGAGTCTGCGGCGGCGTGTCCCAGCCCCTCGAGCGTGCGTCTCACTTTCCTCGTGACGCGTTTAATACCAGCGGCGGGGGGCGGCTGCGGGTGGGGGTGTGGATTGGCGCCGGGGTACGGATGGCGATTGTATGCTCGTCGAGCCGGGCATCTAGTACTACTTACTAATTTGTGCAATGAAGAGGAGGAGCGTCATACCTTGCCAGTCATACCTGTCACGGTCACGGAGACGTGACTCGAAATGGATTCCTCTCTTTACTTAACCACCACCGGGTAGACCAAGTTGGGATGCTACAGATTCAGAGAAACTGCCCAGTGGCACAGTGGTAGTGCGTCTGCTGTATTTAAAGTCTTCAGAGTATGATATGCGTGGAAAGTCCGGATTCCCTCGTTCGATTCGGGGTCGGGCGATGCCACTGTATAGTAGCTCTTTTTCGACCATTTTCATTTTTCATTTGAATTTCAGGCTGCCATTTATTTATTCTCGGGTCCAATTTTTTTTAGATCATGTATCCATGCTCAGAATTCTTCTTGGCTGTGTTGAGTTCAGTGGATTCCACCAAAATCATTTCTTGCTTGATTAATTTACACACCAGGCCACCATAAATTCAGCCCTGCGACCGCACGGTCGCACATGCGTGAATCTGCTTACAATATTATGTTGGTTTTTTTCGAAGCTCCTTCGATGGGGCTGGGTGATGTGGCATATTGAGAAGAGGTTTTTTCCCTCCTTCAGGTTTTTCACGTCCACGAAATCTTCCACTACTCGCACAAAAAAAAAAGCATGAGCCAAGAGCCACTTGCTGTGAATGATATGATTTCCTTGGCCATTCAGCCGACATTTATTTTACTGAATCTCTAGTCGAAATTCTTTTCAATCAATTCAACATGCTCACAATTTTCTTGGCCGCGTGGATTCAGTGCACCCACCAAAATCATTTCAAGCTGCTAATTTAAATGCGTACCAGGCCCAGTTTGGCTCAATCACTGTGTTCAGACCCCCCGTAGGCACAGGTCTGCCAGATCCTGATAGGCAGATGTGTAGGCAGACCAGTGTGCCGACCCTTGCCCATCCATCTGCCCATCCCTGCCGAGGTTGGTCTAGGTATTCCCACTGGATTAGGCACACATAGACTCACATGGGCCGATGAGCCTAGCTAAGCCTAGTTAGCCAAATTCAAATCTGACATGGTTTGTACCTGTCCAGCCATTCCAACCAACACCAACCTAGACCCAGGTCGGCCAAGGTTGACCAAGGTTGGCCAAGATAGACACACCACTGTCGGCGAAGATCTACCAAGGTGGGCAGGCTTTGCCTCGGTAGGGATGCTAGACCAACGTTGGCCGATGCCTATTAGGGTAGACCAACGTCGGCTTGGGTGGGCAGTCCATAGGCGGGGATCGGTGAAGGTGGGCACATCTGTGCCTATGGGGGGGTCTGAATGCAGTGAATAAATCCAAGGATACAACTAAGTATAATACCACCCGGTCGCACATGGCGTGCATCTGTTTACAATACTGAATCAGTCGATATTCAAAGCAGAAGACCCCCGTTCGATTCGGGGCCAGGTCATAGATCGTGTTGTACGGAATTTTTTCTGCCTCGTTTCTTCTCCACACATCCTTCAACTGCTCCACAGAAACCGGGCGTCAGCCAAGTGTGAGTGATATAATTTTGCGCCATGTGTAGTCAATTGTCCCCACAACATGGCTCTCCAACTGTGATTCATTTCAACCCCACCCAGCTCTGTTTTAGTCTCTTATAAACAGATGCTACAACAAAATTTGAGCTCGTACCTCGCTATGTAGCTGTGTAGCTCTGTTTGCTCGCATGGATTCAAAGACGCAACTAGGGATAATACCATCCGGTTGCACAAAGCGCGTATCTGCTCAGTGTTTGCTGAAACGATAGCACATTTCTGCAGAAGACCCCGTTCGATTCGGGGCCGGGTGATGGTGGCGGACTGAAAAGATTTTTTTTTTCTCTTTCCTGCCTCTAAGCGGACTCGTTTGTTCCTCCACACGACCATTCCACTGGATCTCACACATATACAGAAACAAGCATAGACCCCGTATAGTGTGATTTTGCGCCGGGTGTGATCAATTGTACCCACAACATTTTCCAAATGAGATCGCGATTAATTTCAACCACAACCACTCCAGGTCCGCACGTATAAATTCAGAGACGTAGGAAGGTATAGAACGACCTGGTTGCACATGGCGTGCATCTGCCCAATCTATAGCTTGACCTACCAAGTTAAACAGAAGAACCCCGTTCGATTCGGGGTCGGGTGATGAGTCTGAATGACTGCCACTCCCTTTTTCGACCTTTTTAATGGCTTTTGTCCCTTTTTCACCCCGCCATTTCTCGAGTCCAAATTCCGGGATAAATCCAGTGACCCGGTTTATAATTCTCTTGGCCGCATTCGAGTTCAGTGGATTCCACGAAAATCATTTCAAGTCGACCTTGCCTGGCTGATTTAAATGCTTTTAAATGTGCCCTAGACTTAGTTTGCCCTAATATATTCAAGGCCCTGGGCAGGGATATCACCACCCGGTTGTACATGGTGTGCATCTGCTTATAATATTGAAGTTGCGCGGGATTTTGAAGCAGACAATCCCCGTTCGATCAGGGTATAACACCACCCGGTCTCACATGATGTGCATCTGCTTACAATACAGGTGCGGCGGTAGTGTTCTGCAGAAGACCCCCGTTCGATTCGGGGTCGGGTGATAACTCGGAACGTGGGCATTTTTTTTTGGTTCGTCACGATTTCTCGCGTGGGCTTGGGTTATATTTAATGCCGCCGCTTCCCATCGGCTGGTCGCTCATGAGTTTTAGCCTCATGAGTATCAATTCTGCGCAATAAATTCTGCTCACTTAATTTCCATTGTTCAGTTTAAACCGCAACCACTCCAGGTTCGCTCGCATAGATCCAAGGACGCAATAAGGTATAATATCGCCCGGTTGCACATGGTGTGGATGTGCTTACAATATGATTTTGCGTATTTCGAAGCAGACGATCCTCGTTCGATTCGGGGGCTGGGTGATGTATATACCGGAGTTGGGAAGGGGTTTTTTTTTTCACTCTTCGACAGCTGACTGAAGTTTCTGTTCTGGGTATCATGGAACTGAAGTTCACAATCAGACAGGACCCTCGTCTGAATATTATTTGTCGACACCGCGGTGAGTGTCATTGTCCGCACAACATTTTAGTGGCGGATATCAATTAATTTAACCACAACCACTCCAAACTCCAGGTTCGCACGTATAAATTCAGAGACGCAATGGCGTATAATGCCACCCGGTTGCCCATGGCGTGTGTGTGCTCAACATATTCAATAGGTCTTTTTCAAGTGGCAGATGACTCCCTTCGATTCGGGGCCAGGTGATATGGGGATTACCGCGTTTCTTTTCACTCTTCAACTACTTCGGTACTATCATGGAACTGATCATGAACCCAAGATGAGCCTCAAATTATCCAGGACCCTCTTCTAAATTATTTCTCGGTGAGTGTCATTCCCCACAAAATGATTTCTGTGGCAGATATCCATTAATTTCAACCACAACCAGCCCAAGTCCACTCGCATGAGTTCAGAGACGCAACCAGGTACAATACCACCCGGTGGCACATGGCGTGCATCTGCTTACAATGACGCCCTGCCGAGCGACGGCACATTTATGCAGAAGACCCCTGTTCGATTCGGGGTCGGGTGATAGGGAATGTTACATGGTTTTTTCGTTTTCTTTTTTGTTTCACTCTTCGACTGCTTCTATCATGGAACTTGCAGTTATGCAGGACCCTCACATGAGTGTCATTGTCCCCACAAGATTTTTTCCGGCTGATTTCAAGCACCGCCAGTCCAAGTTTGCTCGCATAAATCTAAGGACACAACAGGTTGGAATATCACCCGATTGCACATGGTGTGCATCTGCCCAATCTGAGACTCTGCCGATCCAGTTCTACAGAAGACCGTTCGATTCCAGGCCGGGTGATGAATCGCTTTGAACAGCCTTTTTTTTTTTGCCTCCTGCTTCATTTTAATTTTTCCATCTTGCTCTCATTTTCCCAATCTTCCCTCAGATCCCCCACTGGAGCCTGTTCCAGGTCTAGGATGAGTTCCTTCTCGCTATTTGCGGCAACCAAACCACTCCAAGGTCGCACGTATAGATTCAGAGACGCAGGAAGGTATAATACCACCCGGTGGCACATGACGTGCATCTGCTTACAAAATATGATTTTGCGTATTTTGAAGCAGATTTCCGAAATCTCGGTGAATGTCATTGCCCGCAACATCCCTCCACTGATGGTTGCACGTGGTGTACATCTGCTTACAATGACAGTTTGGGGAGATTATGCAGAAGACCCCCGTTCGATTGGGCCAGGTGCATCGTAACCGTGACGTTAGTTGTCCTTGTTTTTTGTTTGTCACATTTCTTGCATGGCAGTATTTGTATTCACACAATTTATTAGTAATGGCGCAGTGGCGGCTTCCCATCCGCTGCCACGACGGCAGGTCTCTCTCATGAGTTTTAGCGTCTCCTCAGTCTATGTAATAAACTCTGCGCTCACTTGATGTCCATTGTTCGGTTCAACCACCCGAAACTAAGCTTTGAGTGCATAAATCCAAGGACACAACAGTGTATAGTATCATCCGGTGGCACATGGCGTGCTTCTACTTGGACTTGCAATACTGATTGATTGCAGGAAATCTGGAAACAGACGGCCCACGTTCAATTCGGGTGCTGAACGGATTTTTTTTCTGCCTCGTTTTCCCCTCCACGCAACCGTTCCACTGCATCTCACCCATGTACGGAAACAAGCATAGACCCCGTATAATGTGATTTCGCGCCGTCTGGGATCAATTGTCCCCACAACATTTTCCCGCTGAGATGGCAATTAATTTCAAGCACAACCACTCCAATTTCGCTCGTATAAATCCAAGGAAATGGGGGTCCCAGTCGCACATGGCGTACATCTGCCTCAAATAACAGTTTTTTCAACTTGTAGGTGGAAGGACCTCGTTCGATTGGGGGCTGGGTGATAAGACGGGACGCGTGGCAGTGCAATGCCCGGTGGTCCCAGGTTCAACCCGACCCATATTTTCGCCCGAGCTTTCCAACATCGACGAAAACCTGAGTATATCGTGATGTTGGTTTCCAAGTCATCAGATGTGTCGGTCAGAATTGACAGATCGAATGCTAGGGTTGAACTAGTCATTCCAACAGACTGTCTGATTTACCAAGCCAATCCAATGGACATGGGTCATGTCTACAATGCACGAGGCAAGTACTGGTAAGGCAAAGTATACATTACTCCGGACTTCGTTCCGCGGAAAGGACGGGAGTCAACAAGGAGTCAAACGTCAACATGTCGGACACTGGTCAATTCTGACATCGAGTAGCAGAT